CATGATGGTGTGGCCCCCGGAATGGTCGCAGTCTCAACTTGGTCCTGTTGTCAGGGCGACTTAGTTGAACGCACCTTCTCCGAAGTCCTCTGCTATTTTTGTTATTATAATTCCTAGCATTAGACCGTGGACTTGGTACATTTTCAGACGATGCCGATGAAATGTTTGACAATGCACCAAGTCCACTGTCTGATGCTAGGACTTATGATAACTACTATGGCAGAGGACTTCAGACAAAGTGCGTCCTACTAAGTCACCCCGACAACAAGACCAAGTTGCGACAACGAGGTCAACCCACTGTTAGGATCCGTCACGTTTTCTTACTTCGGCTGTAACCAGAGGAGTTCGGGCTTTTATATTTCGCGCCACCTTTCAATGATTGTCTTTCTATTGTCGGTCCCCCATACTATATTCAGATTTGTCTAAATCGGACACTTTATAACATTATTTTTTCTTTTCTCTATTCGTTTCGGGGCCTCCAACTTTGGAGCTGTATAGTGCAAGCGCTTTATATTTTATAGACAGTCCACGTCCTCTTTGGAACACTAAAACTTCATCTCCTCAATTAGATGTACGCCCGGGCTTACGCAGTCTCGGTCATGATTTTCCTAGTATCGTTAAATCTACGACTAAAGTTGATATCTATTGTGATTTATCTATGTTATGACCGATAATTCGTACTATGCCTTAAACGCATACAAACACAAATACACGATGACACATTTAAATTTATAAGTACTTAAAATAACATTGAAAAATATAACCAAATAATTCGATATCTATCTTTCTAATTCTATATATTCTCAAATTTAGTGCTAAGCATACATTGCATCCAAGGTAAATCAACGTCTTTCGACCTGACTTAGAATTAGGCTAACGCTATTGCAGGAATGAGCTTCAGCTCTGACTATTTCTGTCATTATTTAAAATGAAGACTCCGCTCGTTTTCGCCCGCATCGAAAGGGGATGACTCGTGGTCTGCGCCAACCTGGATGTCGCAGTAAAACTAAACGGATGCAGAACCGAAACAATCAGACATCCTCTTCTCTTTTTGAGTTAGCTCCCATGAAGGTAGACATAACCACTTTTGTGAGTCCTCCATTCTCACTTTTCTTTCATAATCACCGTCCTGTTAACGGCTTTTCATGGCGATATGGCTCGTAGTAGCATCACTCTCAATAGCGTAATTCACAATATAGCCATCAGATAATACAGACTTTCCTACATTGCTATAAAGCTACGCAAATCTGACTTAATTCTACTTTGCAAATACTATTCCCTAAAAACCCTCTCACTGTATTATCAGCAATCGCCTGGTTCATTCTTACATACATAGCGATGCATATCCCACTCTAATAAATTATGGGCTGAAAACAATCATGAAGTTTATCTGAAAATTTCGTAGTTTTGCTATACCAAATTATTTAGGGTAAATTCCTGCTTTAGTTGAGGTATTATGCAATATGCATTACATTTTTCTGGTGCTTACATAAGTCTGTCCATCCAGGACAGGCAACTCAGAGTGACCTTCTCTTTGACTAATATCTGACTCGGTTCTATTTGTCACTTGAACCAGCCGCCCAGCCTCTGCGAGTTTAGAGGAAGACATTTTAACACTTGATGAGTGCATTGACCTGTTTTGCTGTCCGTGATATGTAGTAAGATCATTTCTTCCAAATGGACTATCAAGGGGCCTTGACGATACAACTTTCTTGCTTACAGAGGCCCTAGAAGCCGGCAAGGTTGGTCTCTTAACACACGATCGTCTGGCGTAGTTTCGTAGGCGGTTGATTGATGGATCACTGAATGGCTGACTGACTGGCGCAGGAGCTATTGTGTGGGTTGATGAGCACCCTCCCCGGACTCCTATAATCGGCTGCAACATAACAGGTTGTCTAGGACGAGGTCTAGGGTGAGCAGTATGATGCATGGGTTGATGAGTGCCATGGTGAAGTCGTGACTGAGAATGAGATTGCCCTTGAGAAATGGATGAATTCGAGGCAGCAACCGTGGCAGCTGCAGGTGATTGAGGTGCTGGCGAATCGCGCAAGTTATTTCGTAATCTAGCCACAGAATGTGGTAGCTCAGCTATAATTGTTGGTTGACAAGATGACCGATGTGCTCTACGTGAATTGAGAGGAGCCAAGGAGGGACGGCGGTGCTGCCTCCCTTGTGGTTGTCTAAATTTTTATGAAATGTTTCAAATGGAAAGATATTTAAAAATTCTGTTTGTCATGAGAGGCTTAGGAAACGCAAGTAAGGTTTGAAGAATAAAAGTAAGTAATTAAAACATAAAGTCCGTATATTAAAACAGATTTAGCTTGCTGTAGAAGTCTGAAAATAAAAGGTATTTAACTAACAATGGAAATAAAACTGGAGATAAATAAAGGAGCTATAAAAGGAAAAAGATCAGAAAAGAAAATCTATACAGTTACATCTAGAGAGGCAAAGCGGCTTAAATGGAAATTAATGAAAATTTGTTTGACCTTATTTTCGCAACTTGGTCATATTGGTAAAATACTTAAAGAAAGTCATCTAGTCCCTTCCATGGATCATAATTTCCAAAGTCGGAACGTGGACGTGATACAATCGAGGACGTTTCGCTGGCATCATAGTCGGCATCGTCCGTGAGTCCTGCCATTCTTAGCACCATAGTACAACTCGTCAAAGAGACAAGTGAAACCAATACTTTGACCAAATTTGCGCTAAACAGTTGTGGTATCTCTCCTTCTTTCCTAGCTACTCAACTTTTCTATGCCCTAGTATCACGCCTTCACTATTACAATTTTTTCACTGCTTATTTAAATGTAGTGTAGGGTGCCCTTTTGAGCGGTATTTTCACCACCCCTTCACGCTTGTGCTGGGAATGTTGATCAGAGTCTGCCCTATTGTTACGCAGTCCTCCTTCCCTAGGTCTTAACAGTCTCCCTCTTGCCCCATAGGAGCCGTTTGCCATCCCCTGGTTTAAGTATTTCATTCGACCCCTGCTAACATATCTATTCTCCGCGAGGCATTCTTTACAACACTCTGCTTCTGCTAAACTAACTTGAGACGAAAGACCCCGCGTAATTCTTAAGCCTTTTCTTTATGGACCATGTCTATGGTAAAACAGGCCTATATTAAGCCAACTAGCTCTAGTCCTGTCGCGTCAATACTGTATCTATCCCTTATACCAGTGATTCCCAAACTGTGCGCCGCGGCGCCCCGGGGAGCCGCGTTTTCGGTAATACTGCCTTCTTTAAGTCTCCGGTTCATCAGGTTTCTTTTAGTCAGGATATCAATGGCCTCTCGGATCTTGAGTTTTTTCGTATTTTCACCATATTCAGCCAGCCCTTCTGTCGACATACGGGCATTTTCAAGTCGATTTCGTGTCCCATTCGTGCAATGTGTTCCGCTATTTCAGCTCTTTCCGCATCCATGTTTCTGCAGAATCATTAGCGTTCCTTGATTCGCAGGTTGATTTTTTTTCCTGCTTCACCAATATACTTCTGATCACATTTGTCCCATTTGATGTGATAAGCTTCCAAGAAATCCAGTTTGTCAATCTTATCGTGTTGCGTCGGCAGAGAGGTGAATAATGTTGTCTTTTCCTTTGTTATCACCTTGATATTACATTTTCTTAGTGACATGCGCAACTTTTGGCTCAGTTTACAAGAGGGCAGGTATATCAGGTAAAAATTGTGATATGGAAGGGGTGATACAAGGATATAGGATAGGTGATAAGTCGAGGACAGAAGGATAAATACCACAACTTTTTGCGCAAAATTGGTCGAAGGATCGACTTCACTTATCTCTTTGACGAGTTGTAGTGTAGTGCTAATAGTAGCAAGGCTCACTGAAGATGTCGACTATGCTGCCGGCAAAACGTCTGGGAATGTACCAAGTTCACGGTCCGACTCTGGAAATTATCATGCATGCTATGGACTCCGGAGAAAGTGCATCTATCTAGGGCTTCCTGCCAATATGATCGAGTTGTGAAAAAAGGTCAAATGACTACTATGCAACGAAAGGAGACCGCGGCCATGCAAAAGGCCACATCATCTTGGTCTTCATACTTTCAAACAGTCCCCTATATTCTTTTTTTTCGTATATTCTATTTGGATATACCAGGTTTATTAGTTTCCGATCCAATTTTCATTTTTTAAAGAGGCAAGTTCTTATTTTCAGACTGACCTTGCAAAATCATCTACTTCTGTTTGAAGCGCTCGTGTTGAGACTGCAATGAGAGACGATTCTGGCTGAACTATCAACGATGAACTTTCTTCTTGAATGTCGTTTAACCATGAATTTGCTGCTTCATTCTCTGCGTTCGAACATAAATCAAGGGAGGAGCATTCACTTATTGGCGACGTGCAAGATATGTTGCTTGTTAAAATATAATCCGACTCAGAACTATGGCTTCTTGCTTCCCTCATATTTTCTGAATCTAACGCTTGATCTGATTGGCAATATTCTTGGCTACATTCCTCATTTTCACTGACTATTTCGAGCCTACTCTGACGGTGTTCAGATGACAATAAAATGTCTTGTTTTTCGGGATTCTGGTTAATGGTTGGTGTTCCCTTACGAGATCCCAAGGATGAGAAGTTCTCCAATTCTGTCTTTCCTTTTGACGACTCATATGCGGAGTATATATGATGTTCGTGCGTTGAGTAGTCGAACAGGCGGCCAGACCAATTACAGTCCTTCGCATCACATCTGACAAGCTTATGATTGACTCGCTCTACAAGCTGAAATTATAATGGAGAATAAAGCAAAAGGAGGAAAACTTTAAAAATGTATGGCCTTTTACTATAGGATTTGCCTCTAGCGTATCGGAGATTTTCTAAAATGCAAAGCCTAATGTACCGTTTATAAGTGGAATGATCTCGTTTTCGCGACTTGGTCATAGTTAGATGCACCTTGTCAGACATCCTTTGCTACACTAAGTATCATTAGTCCTAGCGTCGGACCATAGACTTGGTACATTCCCAGACATTTGGCTGGCATCGTGATAGATAGCGTTAGTGAGTCATGTCATTCTCAGTACCAAGCTACAACGCATCAGAGACAAGTGAAATCAACCCTCTGACCAACTTTCTGCTGAAACAGTTGTGTTATCACTGCTCTTTCTGTCCTGACCCATCTATCTGATCGCTACTCTCTTATCTCACTCCCGGCCCATCACAACTTCTGACTTGTTTATATTCCACTCAAGAGGTGTACTCTTTTTGGCCAGTTTAGTGTGGCTTCATCACATCTACGATTTACCTTGCCCCCTCCCCCCTCCATCTCGATTTGCTGATCCGATTTGTATCTTCCTCATTGGCCTGCAGATCCGTTTCTTATCTTTCATGTTGATCGATCCTTGGTCCACGCGTCTCCCTTCTGCTTGTCTTGTGAGGGGGGGTCTGGTAGTCACATGACCAGAGAGACGGATAATCAACCCCCCACAGAAATTTGGCATTACAGCCAAATTGACTAGAAATCCACTCGAGATGTGGCAGTTGGTAAAGGGATTGACTTGAATAGCTTCTTTGACGACTTGTTACTTGGTGCTGAGAATAACAAGGCTCATTGATGATGCCGACTAAGATGCCGGCGAAACGTCTAGGGATGTGCCAAGTCCAAGGTCCGACGCTGGGAATCATGACAACTACTATAGCAGAGGACTTGGAACAAGAAACTTTCAACTAAGTCTCTCTCACAACACGATCAAGTTGCGAAAACGAGGTTAGACCGCTCTTATACGTCGAAAAAAAATTGCGACCAAAATAGAGGCCACAGCATCTAGGTCTTCGTGCTGACCATTATATCGTTGTTTCCTAGATGATGCTTCTTAGAAATTTGCTGATTATTAGGGCTAATATTCTTCTCTCAAGCCTACTTTTAAAATATTTCAAAGATATCTTTAATTAAAGTATTTTATTAGCTTTTTCGTCATTTTTAAATTTAAAAGTTTTTTTAAGACATACTACTAAGATGTGGGGAGACATTTAAGAATAAGTTGTCGTTGATAATTTTATTCATTAAAACATATTTAAATATAATAATAGTAAAGTTTATGCTAAGAAAAAGAAAACAAGGATAACATGTTTCATATAAATATATTCTAAGCAGCCTTCTAATTTCCACAATAGGCTTGAGCATACTTAAAAATGTATCTTATTAATTTCACAAATTGAGCCTGAAAAATTTACTCGCCAACACTGCTTGAGGTATCATTTCGAAAT